TCAGACAAATGAAGTTGATCTGTACATACCAATACAACCAGATCTTCAAAAACACAGTGTTGAGTTTAAAAATCAAGCTGAAGAATGATAAATTCAGTATGATATTTCTATACATAGTTTAAAGAGACAAATCAATAGAATATATTATCAGTGGATAAATTGATTTGCAAAGTATGAAAACATGGATTGAAACAATTAGTGCCAGATACATCAGACTACATCTATTATCTTTTTTGTTTTATTAGTTTTATTTTATTTAATATATAATATAATAAAGTAAGATTTTTTTTAAGACTCAAAAGCAAATACTACAAAATGTTAATATTTGTTCATTCTAGATCGTGCAGGAGGAATCTGTTACGTATTTTCTGAACTTTCCTGTATTTTTAATTTTTTTAAAAAAAGAAGCGAGAACAGATACTCTGATACAGGAATTTTACCATTCTCTGTGAGCTGAGGCCTATAGTGGAATCTTTGCTACAGTATTTCATGTTCTGTAGAATGTTAAGACAACTCACATGAAATAGAAAGTGATTTTAAAAAGAGGCTTCTTTCTTGAGGAGAGAACACACAAATTGATAGATGACAAATAGAGATGCATGCACACATACATATGTGAGTGGGTAGATGGATACATAAATTGACACGTAGATGCACATATACAATCACACATCTGTGGGTGGATGGATGGATAGATGGTGTCACAGGCAGAGTAACGCACTCCTACAAGTTGTCCACGTCCTAGTCCCCAGAACCTGTGACTATGTTACCTTGCATGGAAAAAGGGATTTGCAGTTGTTATTGAGGGGATGGACCTCGAGATGGTGAGATTATCTTGCATTATCCGGGTGAGCCTAATTTAACCAAGTGAGTCGGTAAAAATGAAAGACGAGGCAGAAGATTGGGTCAGAGAGATGAGACTGAAGAAGGAGGAGAGATGTGAAGTGTGGAAGAGACTTGACTCATCCTCACTGGTTGGGGATTTGGCTGAAGGGAGCCACAAGCCACGAATGGAATTCTGCCAACAACCCAAGAGAACAGGAAACGGGTGACCCCCTCCGACCCCCCAGAAGGGAGTGCAGCCTGTGACACCGGATTGTCATCCAGGGACACCTGTGCTGGATTTCTGACCTACAGAACAAGACAGGAGTAAGTTTGCGTTGTTTAAAATAACCCACGAAGTTGATAATTTATTATAGCAGCAACAGAAAACTAACACAGACAGATGATAGATGATAAATAGATAGGTAGATAGATAAGCAGGAAGACAGACAGATGATAGATCCCTTACTTCGTGAAATAGAAGTATTTCTGTTTGGTTAGCTGCAGAGCAAATACGTGCAAAACAAATCCTATGTTACTATTGACTTCTATTACAAATTGGTCATGACTTACTATCTGAAAAATGGATGGATTTCAATATACAGAGTTGAAAACTTTTTATGAGAAAAAATAAGCTCCGTGCATGGCTTCCCGAACAGTGAACTCGAAGCCCTTTTGTAAAGCACTTTTCGACTGGGCACCAACTTTCGGCATTTTCCCAACACTGGCGCTCAGAATTGGGCACCAACTCCATGTTTCTGAAGATGGGTTAAATGTGAAAGAGAAGTGGAGAGGGCATTTCTCCAAGAAGCTCTATCATCTAACCGTGTCACTCCACCACCAGAGAATTAATTAAATTTGAGACCTCACGCGGGTCAAATTGGTAGTCTTCTTTAAGAAATCTTTGCAGGCCAAATGCTGTAGAACCAGTGGCCTGATAAGAAATTTGCCTTTAAAGGGAACTTTTCCTTATAAGCCCAGCATATTCCCTTACGAACACTTCCCTAAATGTGTGTCCCCACATTAAAATCTTAGCAACCGCTCACCATGTGTATGATAGAAGATACGGGGTCAGAAAACTCCAGTGCAGTCCCAATTCCACAGCAGGGTGAGCTGGGGGAACCATTTCTGGCAGACGCACCCGAGGGTGGCCCCATGAGTCACAGCCTTGTATAATCCCCTCCCCTTGAGTGTGGTGGAACCTGTGGCTTGTTTCTAACTAATAAAATATGGGAAAGGTAAATATGTGACTGAGGCAATTAAAATTCCTAAGAAGCTTGCTTCTTAAAAGCCAACAATGGAGAGAGCATGTGTCTCTGCTGCCTCAAATCTCTGACCTCTAGATCTTCTTCTAAAGGCCTCACCTGATTAGGTCAGGCCCCCTCAGGATGATCTACCTTTCTATGACTCAAGAAAATGAATCTACAAAGGAAATAAAGCCAGGCGATGGATAGAGAATAAAAGGGGGAACCTCTGAGGCCTGGGAAGCCCCTGCTGCCGTGCTGCTGTCTTTGCTGGGACGGGGGGCGCTGGCCATGTGAGGAGCCGGGGGCGGGGGTGCAGGTGGAGGCAGAGGGATCTGCAAGTGGAATTAACTCAAAGGACGGTCCTGAGCCGATAGAGTCATAGATGATGGATGCATGGTGGCCAACCAAAAACATTTGGTGGATATAAAAATTTCAGTGGTGTCATCCCCATTTCACCCACTCAGGGGCTCCAGGATAGAGCTGCTAAGTCTTGGTTCAGACCCCTCCTTGTTCTACATGGGCGCCCACTGCCCCTTCACTTTCCCACCCGCAGGCTCTTGCTGAGGAGCTCGCCGACTGGGAAGGCAGTCTTTTGGCTCCCACAAGACCAGATATTAAGACCAAGATTTGCAAGCTCAAATGCCTAGAAGCGACAGGCAGATGACGTGACTGAGAGAGGCAGGCTGAGTGTAAGGCAATAGGGGGAGGTAGGGACTGAGGCAAACTGCAGAGCACAGGTGCTATCCACAAGGGGTGGCCACGACTCAGCTCCAGCCAACTGCTGCCAGGCAGAAAAGGAGGCCTCGTGTCTTCAGAGCTTCAGATGTGTCAAGAGAAGCTGAAAATCCAGATTTTTATGTGAAATCCCCTGATAATTATTATTTGGCTACTAAGTGTCAAAACTTTTTAAAATGGTCCGGGCCTAACGAGATTCCTACCTGAGCCATGTTTGGCCCCTGGGCTGCTGGTAGGCTTTCAAGGCATCCTGGAGAGATGTCTCCAGGCCTCTTGGAGCACCAGCCTGGACCATCAGTCTTATCTGGGAAAGTTTCCCTGGCGGCCTCCTAGCGGGTGCACGATGAAGGTTTGCTGAGTTAGTCAAGTTGAAGTCTCGGGAAGCAGGGAGCTGTTAATGAGGCAACCCACCCTTCCCCGCCCCCCCACCACATTTCCCGGGACCCTGACAGAAGCCTGGAGACTGCAGGCTTGTCAGTCATCATTCAGAGGGAGTTTAGCATTTCCTCAATGTCAGTTTACGCGTGAGAAGCTGAGGAGGAACAAAGCCAACTGCCAGTGTCCCTGTGCTCCCAGAATCCCGTGGGTGGCTACTCTGGTCTGGCCAGCATCCATCCCACGTTTCCCTTAGGGGGCTGTCCCTCCCCACTCCCCACAGTTTAGGTTAGGGCTGGCTGTCCCTGTTACATAGGCAGGGGTTCTTCTTTTGTTCCGGCTACTTAGAATTGGTCTTCTGTCACAAGAGCCCTGAATGATCTGTGAAATAAAGAACATGCCCCCCAAAATGATGGGCGTGTTGGAAAGGACAGGATGTGGTTTGGGGCAGCATAAGACATTGCTCCTCCAAGCGTGCTCCCTGAGCCAAATCCTCAGCACCATCTGGGAGTGTGTGAGAAATACAGACTCTCAGGCCCCACCCCAGACCCATCGAATTCCACCCAGAAACACAAGAAAACGCCAGAAAGCTCCAGGCGACTCTCATGCCCATTACGGGCTGCGAGCACTGGGGCAAGCTGCTGTTCGGCACACGGCTCTGGAGTAAGATGTGCTGGTTCAAATCCGAGTCTTGGGGAGGTCCCCTGATCTCTGTGTCTCAATTTCCTCATGGGAAAAATGGGGAGTCATCATAGAGGGCCTGGCACACAGCAGGCCCTCAGCGACGTCAGCTCTGGAGACATGGTCCCGGCAGACAACTGAAATGGGGGCAGGGGCCCCAGAAGAGGGTCTGCCATCTGCAGCCACTGAGGGTCTGAGCAGCTGTGGGGAAGAATTAGGAATCTGTGTTCTCGCCTGAAGACTATCTAGGCTGTGGACCCAATACTGACAGCAGGGGAAGAAGGCTGAGCGGCCCAGGCAGGGGAGCGTGCGGGGGCCGAGGCATGAAGGGGGGCTGCAGGAGAGCACCCGGGGTCTGGGTTTGGAGAGGGAATTAGAGAACGAGAGAGGCAGAGACAGCACGACAGCACGCTGAGTGGTAGAGAGTGTGGGAAAATGAGCCGGAAAAGCTTCGTGGGGGGCCGAGAGAGGGTGGGGGCTGGTTGGAGAATTTGCTTTTTAGCTTGTGTGCCGTGGGAGGCCTGAAGGGTTTTGAGCAAAGGAGCAAGACAACCAGCAAAGACATGATGAGCCAGTGGTATGAAAATCCACACGTCCTCCCGTTTGTTGGCGGTAGATGCCCTGCATGCACGTGTCACAGGGAAAAGTCCTGAAAGGCGTGCACCTAAATGTCAGTGGTGGTTATCTCCGAATGGTGAGATTACCAGGATGTTTCATTGTCTTTTCTTTGCTCGTCTCTATTTTCTAATTTTTCTGCAAAGGACACGCATCGCTTGCATAATTAAAATAGCAATAAAAGCTGTAAATAATTAACACACTCTCTCTTCAGGACTTAAGCTGGATGGATGTGTTTTCAACTCAGTTATTTCAAATATTTGCTGGATCCCTGGCCTTAGAAAGGCTCCATTGAAAACACATAGCCAGTGAGGCCATGCCAGGTGGGCGGACGGGGAAACAGAATGAGCCTCTAACGGTGAAACTGCAGACCCCGGTTCCCACACAGGAACTCTTTCTCTGGAACACAGAGATGCCTTTTGAGTCCCATGTGAAGTTTTGCTTGGAGGTTTAGCAAAATCAGAGTTTGCAGTTCCTGACACTATGGGCACATGTGGACAGGACAGCTGCGGCCTCACACCCTACCTTTTGGAGTTGAGGCTCAGTCTTTTCTGCTTGCTGCTCCCACGAGACATCTTCACTCTCCTACGACGCAGTCCTTTTTTCCACTCCTGCTCAGTCACCGGGTCCTGGGACGCCATCCCTGGGGCTAACGGGTGGGAGAGCTGAAAATACCAGGCATGTTGGCATCATATTGCTCAGAGCCCTCATGGTAAGAACAACACAGAAGGGTTCTCTCTCTACAGATAGGATGCCTGTCTGGGGAAATCAAGGCATGGAAATGCTGCATCACCAAATGGTCTGAGCGTTCCTGGGTGGAACCTTCTGGAACTCTGCCAGGGCTGGATCCACAGAGAAAAACTCAGACGTTTGGAGTAAACTGGAGGCTAGGGAACACCATGGCCAGCTCTTTCCCCTCCCCCAACTCTACCTTTCCGGGGACCCCCCACCAATACCTAACTGCCTTTTGGAAGAAGGAGGGCCAAACTGGGCATTGGATTTCCCCTCCCTCAGGCCCCACACATTTTTTATCAACCCACCACTCTCAGGATGAGGAAAGTGCTGCCACTCCCTCAGGCTCTGCCTGGGAGAAGAAGGCAAGGCTCTGGAGTCCAGGCCCTGTCATTGTTCTGTATGGTTAAATTAGAACTGAGGTCCAGGACCCTCTTCAGTTGCTCTGGCCCAAGACATTATAGAGCAGGACAATGCCCTCAATTATAAAATCCAGATGCACAGACTTGCTTTCAAGATGAGACTATAAACTTATTTAACCACCAAGTGAGAACTCTCTAGAGCACCCATCTCCTTTCCCTTTTTGCCATTGCTCCCAGGAAACTCAGATGTAAGTTAAATCTGATCATAGTAATTATTTCTCCAGAGTCCCTGGTACAATAGCTCTCTCCTTTTAAAAGTTGGGGGGTGGTTTTTGCCTGGAGTCCATCTCCCAATAAGAGTTTCTGGTTTATAATCCTAGATTACCCAGAGAGCTCTCCTGGGCAGTATCTCATTTCACTTTTTGCCTCCATTCCCAGGAAGCTCAGTTAAATTTGATGTCCAGTTATGAAAAATATTTCACCCAGAGTTTAGGGTACAATAATTCTTTCCTTTGAAATTTATTTTTTCATGATTTTCTTTCACTTTATTTTGCATTTTTGGCCTTTATTCTCTCCTGCCCTATATGTGGTAGCCCCAACTTCCCTGGGGAGCAGGCTGAGAAGACATTATAATGGACGGCAGATGCTACAAGGGATGGCTTCACACTTTCTCTCTATCATTACAAGTCCTGCCTGCTAAGCGTGCTCCCTCAGCCCTCCGGAGCCCCAGAGCAAAGCCGGGTGTTACCTTCAACGTCTGTGCCTGCCCTCCTTCTCCTGGGCTTGTCCTGGGCCATCCTCCCGACACAGCCTTGCGCCCCGGCTGGGCGTCCGGGCCCTCGTCCCGGGGGCTGCCCCCAGGGGAGTGCAGCGCCAAGTACACGGAAGCAGCCTTCTCCTTCTGCTCCATGGGCAGAGGGAGGCTGCGGCTCAGACAACACCAGACGAGCAGGGGCTCTGCCCTCAGGGTAGGGAAAGGACCCCGTGCCCTGGAGCTCCCAGGGGTCTCTGAGTGGGGACACAAGGCCAGCTCAGGCCAGCCCGAGGGCATGGGGGCCGAGAGGAAGGAGCTGGGCCAGAGGGAGCAGCAGGCACTGGGCCCTGCCAGGGACCCAGAAGGAGGGTCTTCTGGGGCACTCTTGGGAGGAGCCCTCAGCTCCCTGTTGGGTGCCCAGGGATTCAGGACACCCCCAGAGGGCCTGGCCCTCGCCAAAGTGCTGCCCATGCAGAGGTGGTGGGTGTCACGGGTCGCACTCCTGGGGGAGTCACACACTGGCGTAGGCAGGAAGGAGGCTGTCTCCCTGGGGGCTCCGGCAGCCAAGCCAGGAGACTCTCCAGCTGCTGGGGTGCTGGTGTCCAGGTCTCCTTTCTCGTCTCCCTGCACCCCCTTTCTCCAGTCCCCCGGCCTGGACCGGCAGGGATCCTCCTCGAAGCTGTCTTCTCCGCCGGGGGCCAGGCCCGAGACTGCGCTGGGAGGCAGGAGGGCCCCCAGCCCTGACTCCACAAATGATGCCCGCTCTTCGGGACACCTTCTCCCACAGAGAGGGGCCTGGCCTTGCGCTGGTCCCCGGGCATCGAGCGGAGAGGGGTGGGTCTCTCCCTGAGGTAACCTGAGGAGGTACTTAGGAGGAAAGGCAGCGTCCGCCGGGGCGGCAAGGGCACCAGGAGGCCGAGGCTGGACAGCCGGCTGGGAGGGACTCATGGTGGCTGCAGCTGCAGGGCACAGGGAGGGCCCCTCGGCCCTCGGCCCCGCCTGCCACAGCGCCACTGAAGAAGCAGCGGATGAGGCGCTAGAGGTCTCCAGGGGCTTGCCCTGTTGTCCAGCACTGCCCCTCGCCATGCAGTCGCTGCTGCCATGCAGCCCTCCTAGCTTGTTCCCAGGGCCACTGTCCTGGTTCTGAGATGATGGGGAGGCAGCCTGCATGGGGCTGCCGGGCGCCTCTCCTTCTGCTCCCGAACACTCCGATTGCTCCTGGCAGCTCAGCTCCTCCACTTTCAGCTTCTTCCTCTCCGAGGGGAGCTTGTCTTCCAGAGCCTGGGGCTCCCCAGAGTTACTACTGGGCTGCCTGAGGACGGTCTGGGCCCGCTGACAGGTCTTTGTGCCCCTACCATTACAGGTGCCTCCTTCCAGCTTGGGGTCTGGTGAAGCCAGCCTGGGAGCCTGTAGATCACTTTCTTTGAGGGGACCAGGTGCTGGGGACAGCTGACACCCCAGCTCCAGCCTCCCCTTTGGAGGAATCTGAGGGCTCTTGCTACCCAAACAGGGGGGTTCTGTGCAGCTGAGAGTTGGGGGTGAGGTGGCCCTGTTCACCCCAGGCTGGTCACTGCCTCCCGCTCTAGCCACTGTCTCCCTCTGCTTCTGGGGCTCAGTCACCAAGAAGCCCTCTGGGGCTGGCAGACTTCCCCAAGGCCCTGGCTTGGCCCCCACAGAAATGTCCCCAAGGACAGGGGTCCTCTCATCCTGGGCCGGGGCTGCGCCCTTGCACCCTGCTGCCTCCGCCTGGAGAGGATGGTCCAGCCCCGTCCCACTGCCCACTGTCTCCTCCTTTGCCTTCCTGCTTCCGTGGTGGCTGGCTCTCATTTTCTGGTAGATTCTCTTGAACGTCTCGCTCCCATACACCTGCCACTTCTCTTGGGAGAACATCTTCAGCTTCCTCTGGCTGCCTTTCCTACTGGTCGCTCTGGCCTGGCCAGCACCCCTCTCCCCTACAGCAGTTCTTTTTCCATCCGGGGCCTCTGCAGGGGCCGGAGTGTCTCCAGTGGGCGGACACGGCAGGTCCTCCACTGCGGCCTGTCTGACCAGGGCCCGGGGGTGACCGCTGGGGACACCCACCAGTCGGGCAGGGGTGGGCCTGGGGCTCAGAGGCTTCTGCCCCCTGGGGCAGGTGTCCTGGGGGTCCAGCGGCTCCTGCCACATTCTGGTGCCCTCGACGAAGGGCAGTGAGTTGCTCCTGGTGACCGGCACACACTCCACGGTGGTGGAGAGCTGAGTGGGGACCGAGTGAAAGAAGAGGGGTCGCGTCTTGTCCAGGGGGGTGAAGGTGGAGCGGGCCGAGCACAGGGCGGCCTGCCTCCTCCGTCCAGGCTCCAGGGCCCGGAGGTCAAAGTGGAAGGAGTCCTTGTAGGTGTAAGGCATGGGCAGGTCGATGCTGCCCTGCTTGGACAGAACTGTCTTGCGGGGCCGCACGTTGTCCAGCTGGGAGTCGTCCACCACGGCCTGGTTGTGTGAGATGAGCCTGGCGATGCGCTCCTCCAGCTGCTTCTTCTCCAGCTCCAAGCTGGGCCCCTGCTCCCCCGGCTCAGCCCTGGCGCCTCCGGGCCCTGGGGCGCCCTCCCCCTCGGACTCAGCACTGTGCTCCGAAAGGCTGTGCAGGGGACTAGAAGGTGCCAGCGGCTGCTCCACGCTGTCTGAGCGGGACAAGTAGCCTGAGTCGGTGCTCTCGCACTTCCTCAGCCGGCCCTCCGAGGCCTTGGGGTCCCAGGGCTTCTCCGCGGACATCGCCTGCTGCTGCTGCTGCTGCACGAAGCACGACCTGCTGGCGGTCGGAGACTTCTGTTCCAGGAGCTTACGCCTCGGCTGTGTGCCGGCCACTGGGAGCCCAGCGGACGCTGTATGGGTAGAGTCCAAAGGGGCCTCTCTGTCAGTGAATGTGGACCCTGGACAGGGAATAGCTTCCAACTTCAGCTCTAGGTTCTTGGCAACTGGGAACAGACGCGTGGTGGGCAGTGGGCAGTGTCCAGCGCGCTGGGCGCCTGGAGAAAGGGGTCTCTCTGATTGGGCCGCATCGCGCACTCTCTGGCTCCAGCTGTCCCCTCTGCCATCTGCTCTGGAGGTCTCTCCAGCCTTGTCCCCCTCCTCCAGGTGGCTGCCTCCACCACCGTCGGACTCCGAGGACAGCCGAGAGTTGTTGAGGTGCGTCTGGGTGCGCCTGTGCTTATACAGGTTGCTCTGGGTCTTAAAAGCGATGCCGCACGTGGCACATGGAAAGGGCCGCTCACCCGTGTGGGACCGGATGTGCTTCTCCAAAACACTGGGCTTCAGGCAGTCCCGGCCACAGTGAGGGCACAGGTACTTGCCGGCATTCCGCACCTTGCCCGGGCTGCCCAGCGTGGGCCCCAGGCCCGGCGACAGGACAGGCAGAGCACCCACGATGTTCACGGTGAGCGTTGGAGCCACTGGCTTCCCCATCTGGGTGGGGCCAAGTCCTTCCGGCTGCAGCAGGGGGCTGAGAATGAAGGGCACGTTGCCCCCATCCAGGCTGCCTGTCACTAGGGGGGCGCGTGGCTGGAGGCCCCCAGGAGGCACTGTGTGGTACAATGGGATGGGCAGGGCCTTCAGGAACACAGTGGGGGCCAGGCCCTGCTCTGGCGGCAGGATGACAGGGCCCAGGGTCAGGCGAGGTGAGGCCTGCCCACCTGGGGCCCCTGGGGGGCCAGGAGCAGGAGCTGGCTGGTCCCTGGCAGGTGAGGCAGGGCAGGTGAGTTCTGGCACCTCCATCCCACATCATCTGAGTGTCCCAGGATGCCAGGTAACCTGTGGGCAACAACCAAACTTTACCATGGGTACCTCTTTTCTCTCTTCCAACTGTAAATTCTTCCCTGTCCCCACCAGACATTTCATCACCACTTTGAAGCCAGACAACTATCCCCCAAGAAAAGTACTCTTATTTCCATGTTAGGAAAGGGGAAACTGAGGCTCAGAGAGTGGAAGTGACTTGTCAGGTAACTGATACACGTCTCTTATTTAACATGTCTAAAGGGAACTCTCGATTCTTGCCCTCTACACAGGCTTGTCCTCTATGTCCACAGGCTGCCCTCTATGGCAGGCTTGTCACTGTTATCCCCCGACACCCAGCACAGTGCCCGTGCACAGAAGACGCTCACAAAATATGCTGACTTCATGAAAAAGAAAAGTCATGTAGCTCAGCTCAGTGAGGTCCCCAAAGTCCACAATGATTCCATGTACTGGGGCCTGTCTCTTTCCTTCTCTGGAACTCAGTTTCCAGATCTGTAAAACGGGAAGAGAATCAGCACCTCCCCAGGGCCATTCCCACTCTGGAGTTCTGAGTGTCTGCTGTTGGACGAGGGCACTAAGGAAGAAAACTGACCTGAGGGGAAGCTTACCAGATTTACCAAGTGAAAACAGAGGACTCTCAGCTAAATTTGAATTTCAGATAAATAATGCATAATTCTTTAGTATAAGTATATCCCAAATCTTGCATGGGTCATGCTTATGCTAAAAAAAACTATGCATTATTTACCTGAAACCCACACGTAATTTGGCATTCTGTATTTTATCTCCTCACCCCACCAGGAAAAGGAGCACTTCCTCAATCTCAGGATCAGGTTGGTCTCTGCTTCAAGACGGGGCTTCCAAAGCCCCCTCAGATCCAGCTGGAAGACAATCAGGTCCCTCTTAGCCAGGAGGAACAGCTGGACAAATGCCGGGCAAGGGAACAAGAGAAACTCAGCCACACTCTTTGAACCACGGGAGGGAAAGCCAGATGCAATGGGAAAATGTCAGACAGGCTCATGGCTAGAGGATGGGGGTCTCCAGATCCTTCTTCTTCAGGTGCCCATCCCCCAGGAGCTCCATAAGCACACAACAACCATCCCCCAGCTCAGCTCCTCAAGAAAAACAAATCCAAATGCCAGCCTTCAGCAGCAGGATTGTTTAAGCAGGGTGAGGTGGAAGTAGTGGCCTGCTGGAGCCAGCTCACACCAGCTCAAACTAGCTCACAAGAGCTGAGTGTTAAATTTTCAGAAATTTTGCAAGCCAGGTGTTAAACATGATCATAATTAAAAGTCAAATTATATAAACTTACAATTAAATAGATTATATTAAAAACCAAAGTATTACAACTGGATACTCACATGTGAAAAACTGAAGTTGAACCCCTGCCTCACACCATATACAAAAGTTTGTTAACTCAAAATTGATCAAAGACCCAAATGTAAGAGCTAAAACTATAAGACTCTTGGGAGAAAAGATAGGAGTAAATCTTCATGACCTTGGATTTGGGAGTGAATTCTTAGATATCACACCAAAAACACAAGCAATTTTTTAAAAAGATTAAAAAAATAAAAAAAAGATAAATTGGACTTCTTCAAAATGAAAAATTTTTGTGAATTAAAGGACACTAACAAGAAAGTGAAAAGACAACTCACAGACTGGGAGAAAATATTTTCAAATCATGTACCTGTTATACATGTAGCCACTATACAACTCAATTAAAAAGTGAGCAAAGCAGGCTGGCCCCGTGGCATAGTGGTTAAGTTCACATGCTCTGCTTCGGTGACCCAGCTTTTGCAGTTTCAGATCCCGGGCACAGACCCAGCACCCCTCATCAAGCCATGCTGTGGCAGCATCCTATATAAAATAGAAGAAGATTGGCAACAGATGTTAGCTCAGGGCCAATCTTCCTTATAAAAGAAAAACAGCAAAGGACTTGAGTAGACACGTCTCCAAGGAAGATAGACAAATGGTCAAAAGCTAATGTAAAGATGCTCAGTATCATTTGTCATTAGAAAATGTAAATCAAAACCACAATAAGATACAACTTCACATCAGCTAGCATGGCTAGAGTAATAATAATAATGACGAACTGAAAATAAGCAGTGTTCGTGAGAATGCAGAGAAATTGGAACCATTAAACGCTGCTGGTGGGAAGGTAAAATGGTGCAGCCACTGTGGAAAACAATTTGGCAGCTCCTCAAAAAGTTAAACATAGAAACACCGTGTGACCCAGCAATTCCACTCATAGGTATATACCCAAAACAACTTAAAACAGGTATTCAAATAAAACCTGTACATGAATGTTGAGAGCAGCACAATTCAAAATAGCTAAAAGGTGGAAACAACCCATCAGTGCATCAATAGATGGATGGATAAACAACATGCAGTGTACCCATACAATGGGATACGATTCAGCCATGAAAAGGAATTAAGTACTGACACACGCTACAACATGGATGAACCTCGAAAACATTATGCCAGGTGAAAGAAGCCAGACTCCAAAGGTCACATCTTGAAAGATTTCATTTACATGAAAAACCCAGAATAGGCAAATTCATAGACACAGAAAACAGATTAGAGTGGGAGCCAGGGGTGCAGAGGGAGAATGGGGAGTGACTGCTTAACTGGGTCCAGGGCTTCCTTTTGGAGTGAGGAAAATGTTCTGGAACTAGATAGAGGTGGTGGTGGGACCACATTACGGATGTAGTAAATGCCACTGAATTGTTCACTTTAAGAGTTTAAGTGGTTAAAATGGTGAATTTAGTGATATATGAATTTTACCTCAATAAAAAAGGTACTAAATACTCAAAGCTCATCACTTACTAATTGTTTTATTACGTCTTACCATGGTCAATGCTCTTGAACTTATTTATGTTGATTGCATCAGTACAGTGGAAATACTGCATCATGGTGTGGCACTCCACATCTCCATCTCTTTGCAACTCTGAATTCAGTAATGTCAAGTTTCTAGCTTGGAATTGGCCATGGTGAGAGTATTTACACAACGGGAATCAGTCAGTCCTTTTTTTTTCAATCCTGAGACCATCGCTCCCATTCTCTGTTCCTCATAAACCTGTCTAACATCATGGCGCTCGCAGCATCATGCCACTGCCTCAAAACATTTGAGACCTTATAGCTTTTTAAGGAAAGGTTTAAAGACAGAAATCTTTTGAAATTAGCAGGTGGCTATTATAATTCCTCAGCACTGATGTCAATGGAAGACATCGGCATACCTCAAGGCGCTTCATACTCGCTACTAGCCGAGGTGTTTCCAGATGTTTCCCGGGGGAACCATCAGACCTGAGTTCCTGTCCCCACTCACCCAGCTTGCTGGTGGATATCCCTGAGACCTAGCTCCCTCAGCTCTGAGAACAGGTCACTCAAGCAAAGCTACTGGGAGAACCAGGTGAAATAACAACTGAGTGTGGTGCCGGGCACAGAGTAAGCACTCAACTCGCTTGAGTTTTCAATGGTGTGCCATAATATTTTGAACTATTAACTAGCAATTCCTCCCCATCCTATCTTTCCTCCTACCCATCTTTTCTTCCCCATCAGTCAACGCAGCAAGCTCCCTTCACTGCCTCTGGGAAGGGATGCTATCTCAGGTTGGGTTCTCAAAATAAGGATGTCATTACAAGGATCTTATTTGGGAGGTGATCCCAGGAAACGCTCATAGAGAAGCAGGAAAGGTGGGGGTAAGGAAGCTAAGTGTGTCATTGAACAAGTCCCACGGTGGGCAGAGCAAGATCAGTCTGTCTGGGGAACGCTGAGAGATCACATGGAAGACGTGCCTCAGTTACCCCACGTGGGGGCCAGGGAGCTGTCGAGATCGAGGGTCACTCTTGAGAGTGATGATATGCTGGCATGTCCGGCTGGCTGAGTGGATGTGCTGAGCCAGCCCTGGTGCCCCCAGAAACCCATCGGGCACAGCAATGCTGCTCACAACTGGTTCCAAAGTGGTCAGTGCAGAGGGACATAGGATGGGCAAGGCTTCTGGGCAGAAGCCGAGTAAGGACTCCTGAATTCCACAGCCCAAACCCTAATGGGAAATCTGATGAGGACGAGCCAGTTCTCCCAATGCTCGGGTTATGACAGTCCCCGGGTTGGGAGGAGGTGAGAAGGAGGAGAGTCAGGACGGAGGAGAGGAGACCCTCCAGCTTTGGCTTCAGTGGGGAGTTGGGTGGAGGGGTGACCTGGACTCCATTCCATGGAACTATAGCGAGAGGCCCCAGGACAAAAAGGAGCCACAGCCCCCAGCATGTGTCCGGGGGAGGGACAGAGGAAGCCCACAGGATTCTAGCACCTGGAGCCATGCAGCCCCAGAATGCATTCCAGAGCACCCAAGAGGGGCCCAGAGTGACAGGACAAAGGGTCAAAACCAAAGGTGAAGCTGTGTGAATGGGGTCTCGGTGGGGGCCTCCCTGGGTTGCTGAGGGCTGAGTGCCACCTTGGACCCCCACACCCCTGCCCTGGAATAAGACCACCCTCAGAGGAAAGAGAAATGAAGCCCAGGACTGCCTGCCTCGGGGTGGGAGAAACGGGGCTTCAAAATAGAAATTCCAGAAAAAGAGCGCCACATTTCTGACACACCTGCCGCGATTATTATTTTGCTCTCCCCGCAGCCTGTTCTGTGATCACAGCAAAATCGACGCCTTTTAGTAGCAGCTGATCCCTGCCGGCAAGATAACAAGCCAACTCACACCTCCCCCCAAGGAGATGGCACTTTTCTCAAGAAAACCTCAAAGGGCTGCCGCTAATTTTTCTCACTCTGAATCGAGGAGATGCCGTTCACATTATCCCCAGTGGCCTGATGGGAAAATGGAGGGACCAGGTTGGGAAGGTGGGTGTGTCAGGGAAGGCTCTGGGAAGACCGCCTAGTCAGATAGACTCATTGTCAAGTGCTCACCCCCGTCACACGAAGAGCTGAAGGGGGCCCTCCCTCCCTTCGTTCTCCCTACGTGTGCGGCTCCCCACCTCCCCCGAACCCCCAAGCTAGCCATACTCCTTGGAGCGAGTGT